TGACTTTGTCTTCTGTAGCTGCCCTCTGAATTTTTCTGTTCAGCTCGTATACTTCGTGTTTTCCAGTCACTTTAGCTTCTAAGCGCTCAAGAACAAGTTTCAGAGTCTCTTCTGATAACTGTTTTGGTCTTCTCTTTTTTTCCTATCTTTTTATATTACCCTTTGCTTTCTTCATGTATGATGTTCTTGATGTCATCCCACAATTCTAATGGATTTTGATCATTAGTGTCTAATGCATCAAATCCATACTTGTGATGATCTCTAGATTCAGGTAAGATATATGCTTGGTATAGTTTGGATCTTGTTAACTCATTTTCATTTTCTTCAGCTTCAGCCTGAACTTGCATATGAACAATTGATGGTCTATTCCACAGTTGACCTCTGGTCCTGTTTTGGTGCATGATAATGAGTTTCTTCATCATCTCTTCCCACAGATGTAGTCAGTTTGATTCCTTTGTATTTCATTTGTTGAGATCCATGTGTATAGTAGCCATTTATGTTTTTGAAAAAGGTATTTACAATGAATGAGTCATTGGTCTTGCAAAATTCTGTCTTGCAAGATTCTTGCGATCTCTAGCATTTATATCACAAAAGCCATATTTTTCAGCTACTGATTTTTCCTTTGTTTCCAACTTTTGCTTTCCAATCACCAGTAATTATCAATGCTTCTTGATTGCGTGTTTGATCAATTTCAGACTAAAGAAGTTGGTAGAATTCTTCAATTTCATCATCACAGGCTTTAGTGATTGGTACATAAATTTTAACAGTGGTATTAACTGGTCTCCTTTGTAAGCTTGTGGATACAATCCTATAACAGAAAACATTGTACTTAAAGATGGATCTCAAAATGCTACTTTTGAAGATGAATGTGATGCTATTCTTCATTAATTTGTCAGGTTTCGCATAGTAAACTATGACTGTCGGCTTCAAAATGGGCAATACTAGTCCATTTTGACTCGTAAATGCCTTTCATTTTTGATAACTTATGATTTTTCTAGATTTGTACTTCATACATACCATGTTACGATTATTAATGGATGTATGCAACTGCTTCTTTTAGTTGTGTCACATCAGAAAATGAAGGTCCGGAAAGTGTAACTCCATTCACGTCATTAAAATCAGCTCAGCTTGGAGGAGGCAGCTCTGCCCCGTCATTTTTGAGTGCCTTCCAACCTGAGGACCTCCTCTTCTGGCACTAACTATATCTGACAATATGCTGCTGCTGTTTGTAAGGTGTTCAGTGGCTAACCATTCACAAGTGGTCCATCTTTCCTTCTTCCTAGTCTGTCTCAATCTGAAAGTTCTGCTGAAACCTGTCCACCAGGGTGACCTTGCCTGTATTCAAAATACCAATGGCATAACATCCAGCATTTACAGCACCACCTAGCCAAAGAGTTGCTGTGAGTCGAAACTGACTCGGCGGCACTTACCACATAGTATCCTTTGTCTGAAATTCCTCTCATCCCTGCTTCCTTCCTGTCAGCTCTTCAGGTTTCAGTTTAGCTGTTACTTTTAGGAATCCCTCTTTTGTCCTTATAAACTGGGCTAAGTGACTCTTCAGTATGCTATCATACCTTCTCTTCTTACCTCCATTTGAATTCTTGAACTTGTCAGTTTGTGTGTCTCTCTTCTCTGTAGACTGGAAGCTCTTTGAAGACAGGTGGAGTCTTATTCAGTTTGTATTTATCACTGCTTGGAATGTAGAGGGTTACAATTGTGTGTTCCTGGTTTTTTTTTACATTACTATATGAACCTCATACTTTTAAGATGAGGTTCACTGCTGTCTTTTCTCCTACTTCCCCAACTTGCCTTATCTGTTTTCATGAGGTTCAGACTGGAATGCAGAGCTAACTTCCAGTGCGATATAGGCTGCTCTCCTTCTCAGCTGACACTACGCACAATAAGACAGATGCTACAGGACACAGTCGGAACAGTTGTTTTCTTTGTCTGACTTCTGAAAGGAAGTATCTACCAAAGCCAAACCCACTGCCTTCAGATTAATTCCCACTCATAGCAACCCGGTATAGGGTTTCCGAGGCTGGAAATCCGTACGGGAACAAAAAGCCTCACCTTTCTCCATAAACAGAAGTATATTAGAGGGTGTTTGTTGAGGCACCTAGGCTGTGCTTCGGAGTTCTAATGCGGCACTGTAGGACAAACACTGGACTGCTAACTGCAAGAATCGGTGGTTCAAACTCACCAGCTGCTCCTCAGAAACCCTATAGAGGGCTGCTGTGAGTTGAAACTGACTTGACAACATTTAGCAACAACAACAACAGTGTGTACTTCAGGGAGTGAAGTGGCTCTGTAGTATAAGCACTGGACTGCGAATTACAAGGTTGGTGGTTTGAGTCCTCAAAGATTTATAGCCTCAGAAACCCTATACAAGGGCACTGTGAGTCAGAACCGACTCCATGGCAATTAACAACAACAAGAAATGTGTACATCACATACTGTTGTTTACCAGGTGCCAATAACTAGGAGAAGGAGCTCTGGTAGCATAGTGGTTATGAATCAGGCTGCTAACCTCAAGGTTGGCAGTTCGAAACTACCAGCTGTTCTGCGGGAGAAAGATGAAGACTTCTGCTTTCATAAAGATTTGCAGCCTTGGAAACCCTGTGCAGGGTCACCATGAGTCGGAACTTACTCCACGGCATATAACAACAATAACTAGGAGCATGGACACCTAGTTATTAGCAATTTGCTCAGATAATATTGTATATGTGGGAAGGTCAAACCTCAGCCAACTATGAAGGAGTCATGTGTGACATTGCTATTTGACTATTTGACATTGTTTATCATAAAAGTCTTTGTTACACTTAAACGTTTAAATAAGAGTATTGTCCATTGTTACGATGATTTGCATGTTATTTTGAAATATTAATAATCACTCCCCATACTATTTTTTTAAGGCTTTTGCTCTTGTATCAAACTTGCTGTCACAGTGCAAATTTGATCTTTTGGAAGAACTTGTGGCCAAAGAGGTAAAGTATTATTTTAATTTCTGTTTAAATTCAGTGTCTTATTCTGCAGTAAAATGATGATATACACTATCTTTATCTGTGATTAGGAAGTGTTTGTGAGCATCCTCCAAACTAGTATTCCTGTATCTGTTCTTATGAGTCCTTTGCTGTGGTGTGCCATCGCTTCAGTTCCTACTAAGCAACCCTGTATAGGATTTTTTAGTGCAACTGGTGGGTTTGAAGTACTGACCTTGTAGTTAGCAGTTCAGGGCTTATCCTACAGCATCATACCAGGGCTCGTCTAAAGCATGAAATGACTCTTGTAATCTATGGTATAAATAAAGAAATATGTCTTTAATTTGCTCTTAAATAGAATGTTCTGTTTGGAATTACCAAGTTGAATAAGTAGTTACTTCCCCAAAAGGAAGGGCATAAAAACATCTGTCAGCTTTACATTTGAAAATGCAAGTAGATATAGTAAATTTTAAAATGCTGTAGGAAAATTCATTCCATGATAAAGACCACGTTTTGCAAAAGTTGAACTGATAAACTAATGATTAGCTCTTTTCAAACCTAGGTGCTACAAGTATTGAAAGACAAGGTTCCTTTACTGCCTGAAAACCATAAAAATGCCCTTGCTGCTGACATAGACGAAATTGTATATTCATCAACAGGAGACATCTCCATTTACTATGATGAGAAAGGTAAAGCCCAGTGTTAAAAACAGCACCGTCAAGCCTTCCCACAGCACTCAGCTGGGTTTGATCAGAGCTCAGACACATATTCACAGTTGTGTGGTTTGTTAGGAATGCTCCAGGCACAGTTCTTTTAGTCAGCCGTGCTCACAGGCAGGCCTCTCTCTGCCTGGGCAATGTTACAAAGCTGTTTTAGAGCTGCTGATAAACGCCCACAGGACATTCCACTATGACCCTCAGCCCAAAGGTGCTCAGCTCTATCTCTGTAGGTCAGCAAACCTAGCACCCCCCAGCTAAGTGCCTGGAGGCACTCCACTCTGCAAAGAGCTTCCTAGCCAAAGGCACTCAGCTTTACTTAATCTGTCGTCAGCCAGAAAATCCAGTGCTCTGGCTTGTGCTCTGGCTCTTGGTTTTGGTGTTCCTCTGCTACTCCCCTAGTTTCACAGCTTTCTGTCCCTGAGTTCAGGAGCTTTCACCTGCAGGGATCTTAAGGGCCAAAGGATGTGCTACACTCCTGGCTTTCCTTTGAATGGTAGTGGGATTCCCTAGTCCTGTTCCTGAGATGACTCATTTTATACACAGTAGACTTCCAAGTGTTTACAGTCTTGTACAAATAACCCTGTTAACAACCCCCTACAACTGAATCAGATAATCATATCAGCATCTTCTCCCACCTTCTCTTACCCATACCATCAAGGCAAAAACAGTATTTTGTGGGAATTATACAAAAACTAATGAAGTAATTCACTTCACTGCACCTAGTCAATTTTACATGATCCACAATTATATTTATATCATAAGCCAAGTAGTAGGGTAATCATGCAATACTGGAGTGTATCTGTAGACTTAAGAGAAAGTAATACGCACTTTACAAATCTGACTCTGGAAGAATTGAGATATGTTGACAGTTCCATCTGTTCTTCTCTCCAGACCTTTCTTCGGCCTCAGCTTCATTCACAGGCGAGAGCATTATCACTTAGGTTGGTGACAATCCTAGGACAAGCTACTCCCATGTCTCAAACTGAGAATATTTGTGTTTTAGATTTTCTAATTTGAAGAATGAGAAGAATTTCAGTTTCCAGCTGTATATTATACAGGAGTACGAGGTTAAAGAAGGAGCTCTGGTAGCATAGGGGTTACGAGTTGGGCTGCTGACCTCAAGGTCAGCAGTTTGAAACTACCAGATGTTCCGAGGGAGAAAGATGAGGCTTTCTATTCACGTAAAGATTTACAGCCTTGGAAACCCTATGCAGTTAGTTGCAGGGTCGTTATGAGTCAGAACCAACTCCACGGCACACTACCACAAAGAGGTAAAAGAAAATCAAAGTAAATTGTATTGTTAAGTGCAGTTGAGTTGATTCCAACCCATAATGACCCTGTGTAGGGTTTCCGAGGAGCAGCTAGTGAGCTTGAACCACCAACCTTACAGTTCAAACGGCTTTGCAATCTGGGACATTAACCCACAGCGCCAAATAGTACCAGCTAAAAACTGACTTAAAAGTAAGATTAATTACAGAATTCCCAATTTGGATTTATTTGGGGATTGATGAAAAATGTTGGAAGGAACTTTAGTGGTCATGTGGTTCTAATCCAATAAATGGCCCTAATAGCATTCCTGAAAAAAACATTGATGTATTCATATCCTCTACAAATACAGTAAAAGCTGCAAAAGCCTGAAACCTATCAGAGAAAGAAAACCCCGGTGCTTTCTGCTAAATAGAGAGTGATGGGAAAGTGGTGACTGCACCTTACCAAAGGCGGTATGTGGAGTCCTGACGTACGTCTTCTGTGCCAGGGACCCAGGAAATCCCGCCTGGCCTGACCCACTTCCCTAGGCTCTTATGATGGAAGACTCTTAATTGTTAGAAAACTTTTCATACACGATGTTAATTTGAAGCATTTGCAAAGGTACTTTTAATAATAAATACTTTCTTCCACCTGAATGCTTCAAATTGTATCTCCGTACCAGAATGTTGTAATTTATGGACAGAGGCTGCAAAGTGAATTAGGGTAGAAGGTTTTTTTTTCCGTTCTGGAAGTTGAGATGAAGTTAGTAACTTAGCAGCAAGAAATGTGGGATCTTTTCTTTTCTTCATTTTGCTTTGACAACAGAGATCTGTCACAATATTATTATAATTTTAGAAAAGGCCCCAAATTGAAAATAATCCATGTAACATACATATTAAGTAGTAGGTGCTGAGTAAATTATTACTACTGAGATACAGGGAAGAATGCATGTATGAGAAGGTTTCAAAAAGTCTGTGGAAAAAGGAGTTGAAAGATAATGGAAATTCTCCATAAACTTTTTAAGCCACCTTAGGTGTCATAAGGAGTCCTAGTGTGGTGATATGGGTTAATGCACCAGACTGCAAAGCTGTTTGAACTGCAAGGTTGGCAGTTCAAGCTCACCAGCTACTCCTTGGAAATCATGTACAGGGTTGCTATGGGTCGGAATCGACTCGATGGCACTTAACAACAACAACAACAACATGTATCATAAACTAAGCAAATTTTCTAAAAGCAAAACATTACCCACATTGTTAAATGCCATTGAGTCAGAGTCAACTTATAGGGACCCTATGTAGGGTTTCCGAAGAACAGCTGATGGGTTTGAACAGCCGACCTTGTGGTTTGCATTCCAGGGCTTATCTGACAGTACCACTAGACTGAGCACAAAATTTGATCCTTAATGACTATAGCTACTGCCATGTTCTGATTTCATTTTGTATATGTGGATAATAAAATACTGTGATTTGTTTTTGTGTGTGTATGTGTGTTTTTTCTCTAAGGAAGGAAGTTTGTTAACATCCTGATGTGCTTTTGGTATCTAACCAGTGCCAAAGTCCCCAGTGAAACTTTAACTGGAGCCAGTATATTCCAGGTTAAGTTGGGAGATCAGAGTGTGGAAACCAAACAACTTCTTAATGCAACCTATGAGTAAGTCTAACTATATTTCATTGTTTCCTTTCTCTAGAAAATGCAAAGTAGCGTGAAGGTATAAAATTAATCAGAGCTTTAAAAATGAAAGGATTGAAATATGACAAGTTGTTTATGAAGAAAAAAGGTCCGAAAGAAGCACTAGCCATGAAACAGGAGTATTCAGAGTTTAGAAAAAGGTTATATTGCTGAATGTAGTTCACTGGTTTTCAGCTATTTATTGCTACATAACAAGCCATCCTAAAATGTAGTGGCTCAACCAACCATTTATAGAGCCTGCAATTTCATGGCTCCAGAGTTTTGGGAAGACTTAACTGGGAGTTTGTCCCTGTATCACCTGCAGCTGAAAAGGCCAGAGCTGAGGATCCATTTTGACAAAACTCTGTTTTGTGTGATACCTTGTTCTCTGGGGCTTCTCCTCTTGGCTTTTGCTTGTATTCTCATGTGGCTCATAGTTTTTACGTGGTACAGACAGAAAACGGACAAAGCACAGGGCCTGCACTGTTTTCAGGGGTGGACAGATTGTAGTTCTTTTTGAGGGAGGAGCAACATCACATTGTAGAAGAGCGTGTGGGATGGAAGATACGGTTTCAGTTATTTTTGGAAAAGAAAATCTGACGTAAATGATAGGCATTTAGTGATCCTCTACTATACAGTCAGTGCTAAGTAGGAGTTCAGATACAGAATGGAAGCGTTCTGCCCATATGGAGCTCCTGCCTAGTAGCCCCCCCACCTGCCTTGTCAGTTCTTGATGCTGTGGTAGCTGCGTGTTGTTCTAATGCTGGAAGGTAAGCTACCAGCATCAGACACCAGCAGGAGCACCAGTTGTGGAGAGGTTTCAGCAAAGCTTCTAGTTTAAAACAGGCTACGAAGAAAGGCCTGGTAATCTACTTCTAAAAAGTAGCCAAAGAAATCCTTATGAGTCAGAGCAGAACATTGTCCAGCTCACTTGCTGTGGACATGTCATCAGGTGGGATTGGTCACTGAGGGGGACCTTGTGTTTGGTGAAGTGGAGGGCCAGCGAGGGTGAGGAAGACCCTTAGTGAGATGGATTGACATAGCAGCCACAAAGATGAGCTCAAACATGCTGGTGATGGTGAGAACGAAGCAGAACCAAGCAACACATAGTTCTGTGCCCTGTTTGTAAGGTCACCACGAGTTGAGTTAATTCAACGGCAGCTATCTTTCTGTAGGTCTACTAGGAGGTTAGAGAGTTACTTGAATGAGACACCACAGTGTGTATTGTTACGCTAATAAAATCAGAAACTGAGCACCTCGGTGGTGGTGGTGGTGGTGGTTATGTGCCGTGGAGTAGGTTCCGACTCATAGCGACCCTGTACAGCGTTTCCGAGGCTGTGAATCTTTACGGGAGCAGAAAGTCTCATCTTTCTCTCACAGAGCAGCTGGTAGTTTCGAACTGCTGACTCTGAAGTAAGCAGCCCAATTTGTAAGCACTATACTTATACTACTAGGGCTCCTTGAGCACCTCAGTGGAAACATATAATTTACTATCCATTTAAAACAATGCCATTGTTGTGCCAATTGGCTTTAAAATAACAAATCCCGGAAATGATCTAAGAAAGAATTTTTTATTTGTTTGAGCTTGTTTTTGTTTTTTTTTGTATTTTGCTTTGTTTTAATTACCCAAAATAGTGTCTTATATTCAGATACTTACAACTCTTAGATTTTGTCTCTTCAGTAAGATACATTATTATTGTTAACTGCCATCTTTAAGATGTACCTTTATCTTAAAACTGGAGTCCTGGTGTGGCGCTGTGGGTTAATGTGCAGACTGCAAAGCCATTTGAACTGCAAGGTTGGCAGTTCAAGCTCACCAGTTGCTCCTCGGAATCCCTACTCTGGGTCGCTATGCGTAGGAACTGACTCGACGGCACTTCACAACAAATATCTTAAAACTAAGATGTCCTAGTGGCCCAACTGCTAATTGGTAGGTTGGCAGTTTGAATCCAGAGCAGATCTGGTGACCTGTTCCCATAAGATTGTTGTTAGATTTTGTTGTGTCAATTTCAACTCACAGCATCCTCATATAAAAGTCAACCGCTTTGTAAGTTTTTTAGGCTGTAATCTTTACTTGGTGTGGCACCATAGGATAAGCACTGGACTGCTAACCACAAAGTTGGCAGTTCAAACCCATCCACTTCTTGGTAACCCTATACAGGAGGCAGTTCAAACCCATCCACTTCTTGGTAACCCTATACAGGAGGCAGTTCAAACCCATCCACTTCTTGGTAACCTTATACAGGATCACTAAGCGTCAGAACCGACTTGATGGCAGTTAACAACAGCAGCAACAGTCTACGTGGCATTCAGCCTACCAGCCTTTGGATGAGCAGCTGAGCAGATAACAGGTGATACCACCAGGGCTGCAGCCTAGGGAAATCCTCTAGGGCAGTTCTGCTCTGTCATACAGTCACTGAGTTGGAATTGACTTGAACAACATTGATTTTGCTGTTAAGTACCTTCAAGTTAAGTTCTGACTCATAGTGACCCCATTTAGGGTTTCTAAGAAGCAGTTGGTGGCTTGAACCTCCAGTGTTTATCCTACAGCACCATGCTAGGTCTCCAACAACAATTTGTTGTTGTTGTTAAGTGCCGTTGAGTCGGGTCCGACCCATAGCGACCCTGTACAGGGTTTCCGAGGGTGTAAATCTTTACGGGAGTAGAAAGCCTCATCAACAACAATATGTCGTCATTAAGTGCCATCAACAACCCTTTATAAGATTTCTGAAGAGTAGCTGGTGGATTTGAACCTTACAATTGAAACCGACCTTGTGGTCTAGTGCATTATCTTGCAATGCCACACCCGGACCTTAACAACAATGTTGTTGTTAAGTGCCAGTGAGTCATTTCTGACCCATAGCGACTTTGTGTATGTTTTCCAAGGAACGGCTGGTGAGCTTGAACCACCGACCTTGTGGTTCAAACCAACTTTGCAGTCCAGCGCGTTAACCCATAGTGCCACATCAGGAGCCCAACAACAATATGGTGGTGGTGATTATGTGCCGTGGAATCGATTCCAACTCATAGCAACCCTGTACAGGCTTTCCGAGGCTGTAAACTCTACGGCAGCAGAAAGCCTCGTCTTTCTCCCATGGAACAGCTGATAGTTTCGAACTGCTGATCTTGTGGTTCATAGCCCGATTCCTTAAGACCAAGGGAAGTAGTGAGGAATGGGTTTATTTCTTGAGCAAGAGAGTTCTCTCTAGGGAAGTACTGTACTAGAAATAACAAATTTGAAGGGTGATGATTTTTAAATGTTTTACTTTGTTTATGTTCCTAAGTACTCATAAATGCTGTTATTTTCAAGATTGATCCCAGGAATCCTTTAGGGTCTCCTGAGTCTACTTCAACTCCAGAATACACAACGTGGCTAGTTTTTAACCACATAATCATATCCATGTTTTTGTCAGAGGTTGGCAGATGTTGAATATAGATCAGCCCATTAAAAATACTTATTTTAGTTGAGGAAGTACCTCTAAGTTTATGGGGTTTTTTTTGTGTAATTTAATAGGTAGAATTAAATGTTTTTTGTTTGACTTGTATTTATCTTTAACCATTAGCTTGTTGCTAAAAATTGCCTCTAATATATACTTTCCAATGATACAGTTACTACCCAGGAAGTATTTGAACTGGTATAATTTTTACATTATTTGTAATTTTATTTTCTAGATTTCACAGGGAGTTTACACAAGGAGTAAAGCCTGATTGGACCATTTCAAGGATTGAACACTCAAAATTATTAGAATAATCTTTCTTGGAAAAATCAGCTTATGGACCTTTAGCAATTGCTGTGAAAACTAAGGAAGAACATCTTTTGGATCATTTGATCTTCACTTAAGTCTGTTTTTGTATTATTTTGAAATACTCTTTGAAGTATATTGGCATGATATGATAAAGCTTCTCCCCCCCATTGTGATCACCTTCTTTAAAAGCACTCTTAAGTAAAAAAGCTGCAACAATTATTGGTGTCATATTCAGTGTCATTTTCAATGCTAGATGTGTTTATATGTCCCATAGGACAGAGTAGAACTGCTGTGTAGGGTTTCAAAAACTAAATCTTTATGGGATCTAACAACTTCATATTTTTTCCTAAGGCACACTGGTAGATTTGAACTGCTGACCTTGTGGTTAGCAGCCTAGTGCTTAATCCACTGTGCCACCACGGTTTCGTGTGTGTGTGTGTGTGTGTGTGTGTGTGTATGTGTGTGTATACACAAATTTGTATGTAATTTTATAGCCATAATAAAGTATTGAAAAGGTACATTTCTTTTCTCAGCTAATAGCTGTTAAACATTTGTGGTCAGTACACTTAAACACCATTAATTCAAGTATGCAAAAAAGTTCATTTTTAAGAAGCACAGTTGCTGTTTGGCTACCTCTTTGGCCACTGACTGATATGATAGAATGGATGTAGGAAGAGAAGGGAACATCCTCAGCCTGACAGAGCACTTACATGAAATCTACAGCTCAATCATTCACAGTCATACTGAGAGGACAAAGTAAAGAGGTCTGCCCCTACTAGTATCAGTATCCTAGTTAGTGCATTAAGGCAGAAAAAAAAAAAAGGAAAACATCATTCAAAGGGAGGGCATTTTCTCAGGACATGACTAGGAATGTGTAAAATCCTGTTGAGTCTACCAAAAAGCTACTAAAATAATAGATGAATATATCTAGTTCACAAGCTACAAGGCTAATTTATAAAAATGAATTGAGCTTTGCTATTTTGTTAAGTGCTAGGGAGTCTGTTCTGACTAATAGCAATCCTGTATAGGGTTTCCAAGGTTTTAAATCATCACGGGAACAGAAAGCTGCATCTTTCTTCCATGAGCTTTGATGTTGTTAGGTGCCATCTAGTTGGTACTGACTCATAACGACCCTATGCACAACAGAACAAAACACTACCCAGTCCCGGGCCAACCTCAGTTGTTACTCCTGAGCTCATCGCTGCTGCCACTGTGCCAGTCCATCTCACTGGGGGTCTTCCTCTTTCTCCGACCCTCCACTTTACCAAATATGATATCCTTCTCCAGTGACTGGTCCCTCCTGATAGTATGTCCAAAGTATGAGAGGACGTCTGGCCATTCTGGTTTCCAGGGAGCACTCTGGCTGTACTTCTTGCAACACAGATCTGTTTGTTCTTTTGGCAGTCTAAGGTTCTTTCAGTGTTCTCCAACACCAGAACTCACTATAAATAAAAAATGGAGTTTAAAAATACTGTTTGCTATATCTCAAAAGAAATGTGTAACAAAATATAGTGAACACTGCTGCTTTTGAGAACTACAAAGTATTACTGAGAGAGACAGAAATGAATGGTGAGATGCCATGTTTATGGGTTGGAGACTCAGTCTAGTGAAGCTGTTTATGAGCATCTTCATAGTAAATTTCATAGTCAAATGATGCATGGGTAGATGCTGTTGAGTTGGCTCCTGACTCATGGTGACTTCATGAACTGGAGTGAAACCCTGCCCTGTCCTTGGCCATCCCCTCAGTCATTTATGGATTAGACCATTGTGAGCCATAGAATTTTCACTGGCTGAAAATCAGGCCTTTTCCCTAGTTTACTGTAGTCTGGAAGCTCTGCTGAAACCATCTCAGGTCCATACATCCAAATCCTTGGAATGTGAATATGTGACTTTATATGGTAAAAGGGACTTTGAATATGGAATTAGAGTAAGGATTTTAGATGGGGAGTGTGTTCACAAGAGTCCTTATAAGGGCATCGGGAGGGTCAGAGTTAGGAGATGGAAGCAAAGGTTGAGGGGATGTGGGGCCATGAGCTAAGAAATGAAGATAGCATCTAGAAACTAGACAAGTCAAGGAAACATTTCTCCTAGGACCTTCAGAGTTATATATCCCTGCTGATCCATTTTGGACTTTGTCCTCTAAAACTGTAGATAAGATTGTGCTGTTTTGAGCCACGAAGTGAAATTTTCTTACAGCATCAGTTGGAAACTAATATACAAGATATCCCTACATGAATCAGTTACCACATTACAGATAATTAAATATTCTTGTAGATGTTTAAATAGTTCCCAGTTTGGTCAGTGGTAACTCCTTTTCTCTGCTATGACAGAAAAGACTCAATATGACTGCTGTTAGTCTTTGTGCACATTTGTTCTTTAGGGTGTCATAGTATGTCCTAGGCTTCTCTTGCCTTACACTGAAATCTGAATCATTTAGGGGAGTGGTGTTTAGAAACTGTTATCTAGGCATTTTAAGGATGTGTACAAGAGAATATACAGATATAGATAGATAATAGATACATTTGGAACTTTGGATCATTTGTCTAAAAGAACTTGGGTCTGGATGGAAACTGCAGATGGGAGCTTTTCAGTGTGTAGGGGAATTAGAGTTGGGGTAAGGACTCCCAGCAGCTGAGGGCCTCTCTCTTCCTCTAGTGCTGTTGCTGGGACTGGTGGTCCAGGGGGCTCTTATTCTCTGGAGGCCATGTGGACCATAAGATCTACCATCCTGTTGCTAAAGCTGAATTCATTGTCATACCAGGAAATGAGCTTGACAAAGTGGTTGTTGAAGGCAATGCCAGCCCCAGCATCAAAGTGTCACTGTTAAAGTCACAGGAGATGACCTGGTCATCAGTGTAACCCAGGATGCCTTTTAGGGGTCCATCTATTGATATCATTGAATTTGGCAGCTTTCTCCAGGCGGCAGGTCAGGTCCATAACAGACACATTAGGAGTGGGGACATGGAAGGCCATGCCAGTGAGTTTCCCATTCAGTTCAGGGATGACCTTGCCCATAGCCTTGGCAGCATACCAGTAGATGCAGGGATGATGTTCTGGGCAGCCCCACGGCCATCATGCCACAGTTTCCCAGAGAGGCCATCCACAGTGTTCTGGGTGGCAGTGATGGCATGGACTGTGGACATGAGTCCCTCCACGACGCCAAAATTGTCATGGATGACCTTAGCCAGGGGGGCCAAATAGTTGGTGGTGCAGGAGGCATTGCTGACAATCTTGAGGGAGTTGTCATACTTCTCATGGTTCACACCCATCACAAACATGGGGGCATCAGCAGAAGGGGCAGAGATGATTACCCTTTTGGCACCACCCGTCAAGTGAGCCCCAGCCTTTTCCAAGGTTGTGAAGATACCGGTGGACTCTACAACATATTCAGCACCAGCATCACCCCACTTGATGTTGGCGGATCTCGCTCCTGGAAGATAGAGATGGGCTTCCCATTGATGATAAGTTTCCTGTTCTAAGCCTTGACAGTGCCATTGAACTTGCCATGGGTGGAATCATATTGGAACATATATACCATGTAGTTGAGGTCAATGAAGGGGTCGTTGATGGCAACAACCTCTACTTTGCCAGAGTTAACAGCAGCCCTGGTGACCAGGTGCCCAGTACGGCCAAATCCATTGACTCTGAGCTTCACCATCTTGTCTCAGGTATGCGGCTGGTACTGCAAGAGAAGCTGCGGCTGCCTGTCGAACAGGGAGGAGCAGAGAGCCTACATGTGTTTTATTTTTGCCAACCTTAAAATACATCCTCCCTCCCCATTCTTCCATCACTCTCTATGCTCTAGCCCTGATTTGTTTTATAGCACCACCATCTGCCATTTAAAACAAATCAACCCACTGCCATCAATTCATTTCTAACTCAGCAACCCTATAGGCCTGAGTCTGCCCCTTAGGGTTTCCAAAGCCTTATATTTATGTAAGCAGACTGGCATAACTTGATCCCACTAAGCAGCTGGTAGGTTTGAACTGCCAATGTTACAATGAGCAGCTGGTTATTTTAGCCACTGTGCCACTAGGACTTCTTCACTGATATTGTTGTTGTTAGGTGCCATCTAGTTGGTACCAACTCAAGAGCGACCTTATGCACAGCAGAACGAAACTGCCTGATCTTGGGCCAACCTCACTACTGTTGGCACGCTTGAGTCCATCGATGCTGCCACTTGGCCAATCCATCTCATTGGGGGTCTTCCTCTTTTTCTCTGACCCTCCACCATACCAAACATGATATCCTTCTCCAGCAACTGGTCCCTCCTGACAATATGTCCAAGTATAAGAGATGAAGTTTGGCCATCTTGGCCTCCAAGGAACACTCTGGCTGCATTTCTTCCAAAATGGATCTATTGGTTCTTTTGGTAGCCCATGGCACTTTCAATATTCTCCTCCAATACCATAACTCAAAAAGCATCAATTCTTCTACCGTCTTCCTCATTCACTGTCCAGCTTTTATATGCATGTGAGGTTATTGAAAATACCGTGTCTTGGATCAGGCACACTTTAGTCCTTAAGCTGACATCTTTGCTATTCAACACTTTAAAGAGGTCTTGTGCAGCAGATTTGCCTAATGCACTACATTGTTTATTTCTTGACTACTGCTTCCATGAGTGTTGATAGATGATCAATATAGTATACAAATATTCATTGTTTCGTATTTGCCAAAATTTAAGCATTTCCCCCCCATTTTCTGTCGTTTTCTAGTCAGGACCTAGAAAAATATCTGGTACATAGTGGAGCTCAATAAATATTCATTGAATACATGAATAGGTTAGACTCACTACTGTTGAGCTTTCTGGATCTCATGATATGAACACGGGCCTCTTGCTTTCGATTTGATGCACTGGCAAGCCAAATGTGATTTCTCTTATCAGGTGGAAGTCCTCTTCTCAGGTATTTACTTCTATAGATTGGATGTGGGTCCTTGCTCTTAGGTCCTATACATGGTATTTATTCTGAGTACCACACGGTGGAGCTAATCGTTTATAGAATCTAAATGCTTGAATTGGCAATTTGATAAGAGTCTGGAATTACTAAGAAATGGGAGGATTGCTTTGCTTGCTGACAGATTTTTATAGATAGATACAGGAAATTGCTCTACAACAAGTTTTGAGAAAATTGCTCCACAAACAAGTTTTATGAGCAGAATGTGTTGATGTTAAAAAGGCTAAGCGCATGGGTCACATTGAAGGGAACGTACACACATCTCTCTTCTCTTGCTAACACGGAATCATTGAGTGCCTCTGTGATTAAA